AGCTCCAGTCATGTTCGTCTTCCCCCTCCAGGTCCCCTCGGTGCCCAAATCCTCCTGCTGCAGTTTAAGCCCATTCCTTCTCGTCCTGCCCCCTGTGGTCCGAGGGGATTTGGCTCCCCGTCCTCTTTGCAGCGGCGCTTTGCGTGCTGGTGGCTGCAGAGAGGGAACATGGGTCCCCACGTCCCTGGTGGGCAGGGCAGGAGGCAGGTGGCCTTAGGGGACAGCAGTGCACACGGGAGGCCTCCCCACCACTCTGTGCTCTCCTCTCTCGGCTTCCAGAAGAAGGACGTGCGGATGCTGCGCTTCATCCAGGAGGTGAACACCACCACCCGCTCCTGTGCCCTCTGGGACCTAGAGGAGGACACTGAGTACATTGTGCATGTCCAGTCCATCAGCATCCAAGGCCAGAGCCCTGCCAGTGAGCCAGTCCTCTTCAAGACCCCCAGGGAAGCTGAGAAACTAGCCTCTAAAAATAAAGGCAAGTGTGGGTGAGTTCCTATGTGGCCCCCGGGACGCCCAAGGCAGCGCAGGGCTCTGCAGAGAGGAAACAGGATCCTGTGCAGGGAGAATGGCTGGGATAAACACACACAGGGGGCTGAGTGTTCTCTCACAGCCCTCAGGGGACAAGCAGGATGCCTCAGGGTACCCAGCAGACAAGGCTGAGGGGTGCACAAGGTGACACGGAGGTGCTGCCAAGGCGGGCTGCTCCTTTCTCCCATTTCAGATGAGGTTTAACAGGCAAAGTGAGGAGGAGAAGGTTTCCACTCTGGGAGCTGTGTGTCCAGCTCCCTGCAAGCGGAGAATGCCAGGGGGAAATTCCTGAGCAGTCTGTGAACTCATGTGGAACCAGCCCTCTGGATGGCACTGGCACTTGTGGGATTTGAGGAGTCTCCATGCTTGGATTCCAAGGCAGCAGGGAAAAAAAAATACCCCCAATATTTCTTACATTTGAAATATTTCTGCCAAATCACAGAAAGCTGAGGGTGGAAGGGACCTCTTGAGATCACTCAGTGCAAAGCCCTGCTCAGGGCAGGTTGTCCAGGATCACATCCAGTTGGGTTTTGGATATCTCCATGGAGGAAATCAGGCACTTCCTCGCTGGCAACTCCTTCACCTGTTCCTCTCAAGCCAAACCAGATTGTTGAGGGGTTTCTGTCAGCAAGAATCCCTGCTCCAAAAAGGGTCTGGGAGTGCAGGGCTGTGGCACACACAGGTCCCTGTTTGCCTGCTGAGGATCCAGCCTGTTCCAGGGCATTTGGCCATGGTTCCAAGGACGTTGCAAGTTCTTGATTCTTTCTATTAAAAGATTTGGTGGCTGTAAATACTGAATTGCTGTTCATCTGAAAGCACTAAGAGGAGCAGTGCTCCCTTCCTGGGGGCCTGAACTGTAATCTTCTTAGTGCTTTGAAGCCAAGGAGGCGAATTACACCCTGCAAAAAGGCTCTGCTCGTTTCTGAATCCCAGGGCTCCACTGCAAAATATCCTGCCAGGCTCCAGGCTCCTGGAACTGCTGGAGCCTGCAAGGCTTTGTGACAGCCACAGACAGCACTTACAGGGACAGAGACAGCAGAGCCACCACAGGGACAGGTAACATGTGGGCTCACCCTGTGGCAGCTCCTGTTGATCCTGTCCCTGCTCTGTCCCTTCAGGATGTCACAGAATCAGAGAATGAATCACAGAATCATGGAATGGTTTGACTTGGAAGGGACATTAAGATCACCCAGTCCCACCCCTTACCATGGGCAGGGACACCTTCCACCAGCCCAGGTTGCTCCAACCTGGCCTTGGACACTTCCAGGGATGGGGCAGCCACAGCTTCTCTGGGCAACCTGTGCCAGGGCCTGCCCACCCTCCCAGGGAGGAATTTCTTCCTAACATCCCATCTAAGCTGCCCTCCTGTCAGGGTGAGGACTCCCTCAGAGCTGTGACCCTGACACGCTGCAGATTTGGCTCAGGGTGCTTGGTTTCATGTCTCTCTTTCCCCCCTTGTGCAGATGAGGTGACAATGAAGGAGATGGCGAAGAAAAACCAACAGCTGCGAGCGGGGGAAATTCTCATCATTGTTGTGGTGTTGTTTATGTGGGCAGGTCAGTTCAACCTCTCCCTCAAAAGCATGTGATATCCACAGAGTATCCCTAGGGATGGCTGGCTGGCTTGGTTTGCATGTGTAATCATGGAAAGACCTGAAAAGAGACCCTTCCTCCCACCAGGAGTGTGGAGTACTCAGCTGTAAGGTTGGGCAGTGCCAAAAGCAGGAGAATCAGTGGGTGAGGTCTGGTCCACCAGGAGTAGATAATGGACTTGATGGAGCCAATTCCCAATGGCTAATCCTGTAATCTCATTTTTTTCCAGAATGATCTGAATATAACACCCTCAGCCCTGGAATCATGGACTGGTTTGGGTTGGAAGGGACCTTAAAGATCATCCAGTCCCACCCCCTGCCATGGGCAGGGACACCTCCCACTAAACCCAGGCTGCTCCAAGCCCTGTCCAACCTGCCCTGGAACACTTCCAGGGATGGGGCACCCAAACATCCAAGGGGATGCCTCGAGCCCTTCAGATGATACAGGGCATCTGTAATTATCTGGATATTATATGACTCCAACACTCATGCAAAACAGAAATTTAAGAGTCTCACTCTCCACACCCACTATTTTATATATATATGTATATATATATATAAATGTACACACTAAAACCTACTTAAAACCAATTAAAATAATGGAAGCATATGGAAGAGTTTTCCAACAAGAGCTTGGCACCACATGTCAACAGATCTTACAGGAAATTGCACCTAGGGGAGGTCTCACTTGTGTTTTAAGCCTGTAAATAGGGAGAGGAAAACCCCTCCAACTCCTGCTCTGTCGGTTTAGTGTGTCTGAAGTGGCTGTTGTTTGGAAATTACACCCCTGAGTTAATGGGAAGTCAAGTTTGCACAGGTTTGTTCTCTGTTCAGAGCCCTGGCGTCCCCTGGCTGCCTGTAAAACATTAATGATCCCACATTTGCTCCCTGAATGGCTCAGGTGACCCGAAGAAATCTGGCAGGGAGGGTAATTAGCAGCAGGATGAATCTGTGATCCATAACAAGACAGCCTTTGCCACTCATGTTTAGTTCCCCTGTCCCAGTCAAACCACTTTCCCACTCACAGAATATTCCTCATCACAGAGGGGGAAGGAAGGATTAACTGTGTCCTGCAAAGTTCTCTACAAGTGAATCCATGTATTACATTTTTTTTGCCCTTATTTGCACCTCCAGAGCCAGGGCAGAAGTTATTCCCAAAGACAACCACACAAAAACCTAAACTAAATTAAAGGGTTTCCAAAACCTCTAGTCCATGATTTTTTCAGCATTTATGCCAAGTTTTACTTGTGCACATCCAAATTTAAATGCCCTGCCAGGAAAAACAATCATGAATAATTACATGGAGTGACTGAACAACTGATTCATCTCCCCCTGTAGAATAATCTGAAACTCAGATCAGCTGGGAACAAAGAATTTGCTAATCCCACAATTTCCCTTCCAGACAGATGACTTACATTTAAAAAGGAGAGGAGGGGTGGGGGGGAAGGATCTCTCTGCATCGAGTGGGTTCTTTACAAAGTCTCAGTGTAAAAAAAAACCCCCTCCAGCTCTTAACCCGCCCTGTGTGATGATGTTTGAGCAAATCCAGACTGGAACCAGTCCGTGCCCAGGGCTCTGGACTGAGCCAAGCCCCAAACTCTTGTGCTGTCGGTGTTTCTGGCACTTTTCGTGGCACTTTGCTTCTTTGTGCCTCAGTTTTGCCCTCTGAGATCACGGAAGGTGTGACCCTGGCAGATGTTAACACCTGCTCTCCGAGGATCAGCCATTTGTCCCCATTCCCAGGGAAAGGACTGGAATCTCTGTGCATGTCAGCAAAGCCTGGGGGCAGCTGCCATAACCACAACTCACCTCACAGAGCAGTTTGTGATGATCTGGTGGAAGTTTTACACACATTTTGCTATTAAGGAGTATTTTTCAGTAAGGGAAAAGCAGCATCTGCCTGGACCTACTTAACCTACGTGCCTGGAATGTGCAGGCAGAGATGTTATTTGGTGAAAGCATCACAAGGAAGCTTTGGAGACAGACATTTGCAGTCTTCTTACGTGCCATGGCTGCCCCTGCTTCCCTCTCCATGTGCCTGGGCGGGAGGAAATTTCCACTTGCAGCTTGTGCTGCCGTGGCTGTTGCACATCTGCAGGTGTTGTCCTGCTGCTGGCACACAGGACCTGCCTCCCCTCTGCCAGCTCCAGCTCCTCTTCCCCTCAGAGGACAGAGATCAGAGGACACGTTTTCACTAACCAGAAATTCCAGGAGCCCCTGTGTTTGCAAAGCAAAAAAATCCCATCAAACCGCAGGGGCTGGTTGTTGGCGTGAGGGCTTAAAACACTTGTCCCATTTATTAACAGGGAAGTTGGAACATAATTAAGCCTCTGTCCTCCTGCCTAACTAGTTTAGCATGGAATTAGGCACGGGGGAAGGAAAGAGCCAGAGGGCTGCCTGGCTGTGTTAGAAAATGATCCTTGTGAGGAATTGTGGATGCTGCCGAGGAGGCACAAAGGCGGCTGGCAAGGAGGGATCTCTGATCTCGGCAGGCTGAGCTCGTTTGTGTGATCACTGATGGTTTTTCCTGTCAGGGGTGATCGCCCTGTTCTGCAGACAGTACGACATCATCAAAGATAACGAGCCAAACAACAGCAAGGAGAAAGCCAAGAGCGCCTCGGAGAACAGCACCCCGGAGCACCAGGGCGGGGGGCTCCTGCGCAGCAAGGTGAGAGCTGGGGACAGGGCACAGCCCTGAATCACCCAAAAACCCTCTGTAAACACCTCCCCCTGCAGCCGGGATGCGAAAAAGGAACACCCTCCACCCCCACGCGCCACTTCGTGCTCTGAGCCCGCCAGCCACGCCTCTGGATGGGCCTGAACTGGCATCAGAAATCAGGATTTAACCCACAATTCTGAATTATCTGAACACCTCTGGAAGAAAAACGAGTTCCTCGGGTCCTTCCACAGCCCTCAGGTGGCACGTGGCAAAGAGGGACACTGCTCTTGTAATTAACTGAAAGTTAATCAGCAGGAGCACTGGCTGGCAACACGCACGATGTCAAAGGTTTGTCACAGCCTTAGTAAACAGGCTCAGCTTAAAACAGGCTCGAGCCTGTAATTTATACTGACTTCTTTCAATTAATTTAACTTCCTTGTGTTTCTATTCTCTCTGGCACATCCCCACCGCTTCACATTTATTTATTATTTTAAACAGTTCACTAATTTCTGCTCACTCAGAAGCAGTGAGGAACTACAGAAGCCTAAGGCTCAGCTCTGGCCCTTTTTCATCATCATGAGGGGATGGGACAAGAATTTTCACAGAACCTGACCAGCACAGTGCACTGACCTCTGATGTGGGTTGGTTTTTTTCCCCTCTATCCATCCTTTCTCCCTTTTTTTTCCTCTTCTCTCCTAGTTTCCAAAAAACAAGCCCTCAGTGAATATCATCGAAGCATGACAGGCCTGTCACCTGATCGATGGACTCCATCCCTCACTCTCACTTTCTGCCTCTGAGCCGTGATGACTGGGGAGGTGAAATATTGTCAGAGCGACCTGGAAAGAGACCCAGTGATTGTCACCTGCTGGCAGACATCTCCTCCCACCTCCTGCAAAACATCTGGCCAGGAAGGAAAATCCTTCAGAAATCCCTGACACCCAAAGAAGACGGAAAAGCATCGGTGAGACAGGTGCTGACCCGGACTCGTGGATCACCTGGGCTGGAGCAACGTCTCACACACTCCTTTCCACCCTCACGCTCCGTCTTCTGGGACCTTCCTGTCTCTGGGAACGTACGAGGTTTTGTTGTGTCTTTATTTGGTCTCACTGTCACTCCACCCTGACAGAATTCCCGTGAGCTCGGGCACCAGGCACCGACACCCCTCTCCGAGCAGGAATGGAGGGAAGCTCATCCCAAAGGCCACCACCGAGCCGAATTCTGGCTGCTGTGCGCTCTCGCCTCGCTTTGCTCATCGATGTGTGTTGTGTGACACGTCTTGCAGGTGGGTTTTTAGAAACAAAAAAAAAAAAGGCATCCCCCAGTTTCCATTCCCACCAGGAGAACCTCCCCTGGTTGTTCTCCGGTCAGGCTGCAGCACATCTCTCACTGCTGCTGTCTCTCCTGTCTCACACTGGTGCTCTTCACCTCAGAAAACCGGGGAACACTGAGGCACAGACAGACACGAGGGGACACCAGAAGCTGTTATTTAGCTTCCAAGGATAATTTCAACCATTTTCTTCATGGTATTTTCAGCTGGGCCTGAGTCCACCACCAGTGTGATAAAAGGTCCATAAAAATGTAGCCAGTCAGCAAAAAAAAAAAAGAAAAAGAAAAAAAAAGACAAAATACCTGATGATACCGGTTGCTATGCAAGGGCTCCAGGGGCAAGAGCTGTTTGTTGTGGAAGGCTCTGGCCTGAGGGACCTTTTTCTGAGGGCTTAGGTTCTTAAAATGCTTCTTTTAGCAGGGTTCCTGTGGGAAGGGCTGGTTCTCCTGACAGTGCCTGCGCTATTTTTGTGGTGTTGGAAGGGCAGGTATCTGCTGGAGACAGCCCTTCCCAAAAAGGATGAGGATGAACGGGAAAGGGGCTGGGGTTCTCCTCTCTCTTATTAAGTGCTTGATGTTTGCAAGCTGACAGGATCCCTGGGATTGCTGGTGCTCTGGAAGCTGGTAGATGCAGGACCATCACGTGGACAAGGTTTACTCTCTGTAGTGTGCCATGGGGTATCTGTATTTATTTAATTACTCTACGAGACCACTCCATATGCACTAGGGGATGAGGCAGGATCCTACTTGTTCCATCCAATGCCAAGACAGGTTGGCCTGAGTAGGGTTTGGATCTTGTTACAACAAACCTGCACTCAGATGAGCCTGGGTTAGAAGTCCCTGCAAGGAAACAGGCTGGCAGGAAGGACTTCAGCCATCTCTCCTCTTCCACTGGCACCAGCCTTTCCAAAAGGGCTGGTCTGGGAGAAAGGCACAGGGAAGTTTGCTTGCAGATGTGTTGGTGAACAAGCAAAGGCTTCCCTTGTGCTGGTTTCAGAAGACAGGCCAACCCCAAAGGTCTCTTCAGTGGATCCTTTGCCAGAACATACTCCTCCATCACCAAGAGGGAGAGGTCAACACCTCTGATACAGACAGAGCAATAAACATTTTATAATGTACAATAAAAGATTAAAGGCATCTCTTGTGTCCTTGTAACATCTGAATTTGGTAATTTTATATTCACCTGCTCCTAGCAGAACACACCCCACAGAACTGGGGGGCTTTCCCTGTATTTCCCAGTGACTAAACCCAAAATGTCTGGGTGGAGAAACCCAGGAAGGTTCAGAGTTCACTCTGGCTGCAGGACAAAAAAAAAAAACCCTGCACCATAAATAGCACCACAGCCATACCTAGCAAAATCCTTCAGACACGGCTGTTATCTCCCAAAGAAAGAAACAGCATTTGGAATCCATAGCCCTCCAAAGGGAGATTTGGGACAGATGGTACAGCATGTGCAAAACGATAAGGGAGATGCTCTCTCCTAATCCGGGAGCAGACAGCCAAGCAAACAGCCCTCAGAAGGTGCTCAAGAGGAAACTCACCCGGGTAATTTGGCAGGTTGGGGGGTTGTGTGGCTGTTTTTAAAGACAGTTGTCCCTGGGAATGAAGAGCAAACCCCCTTTGTTATTCCCCAGCGACAGGTTTAAGCCATTTCTCTCCTAACAGAAATGGGACCACTCGAGTGGTAGAAGAGAATTAAAATGCAAAGGGTCGGTGTCAATATTCACACCACGACAGGGCAGGAGGTTCCAGGGTCATCATGATGCCCCAGAACTGCAGGGTTTGAGAGTAAGGAAATAATGCTGTTAGTGAGGAGAAACAAATGTAGCCTGGCAGCAACTCAGCTCAGAGAGGGACTCCAAGCCACTCAGTTCAAGAAAATATTTTCAGCAACTCAAGATTGAAGTGATGCAACAAGACCATGCTTTGGGAAAAGGTTCTCCCCTTATAGGAGAAGAAAGTTATTTAAAATCCTGCTTCTCTGAGGGCCATAAACATCAAAGCTGTTTAGGTATTAAATTCCACTGTCACCCATGAGAGTCCCACACCATTAAGGCTCTGGGCCTGTGTGAGTTCAAGCCCATCTTTAGAACAGAGACCTCATTCCCAACAACAGCTGCCAAAAGATACTCCTGAGGTGTTTTACAGTCAATAAAGGGAAGGGATCAGGGAAAAATAAACCCAAGACACACTGAGGGAAGTCATGCTGGGCCACAGCAGAACATACCCCAAAGGCCACCCACGTTCCCCGCGTGTTTTTCCCTGACTGCTGATTTTGACTCATTGTTGGAGCAGGAGCTGGAAAAAGGAGGTTTCAATAAATACTAAAAAGCAGCAAGTGGGAGTGGGCTGGCATGACAGGGAGCCCAGAGAGCCCTGCAAGTGCTGATTCCCTGCTGATCTCTAAAAGCAAAGGGGAGCAGCCCCCCAGCAGCCCCTGGGGATTAATCCCACTGATTTCCAAGAATCAACTGAGCAGAGACCGAGGGCACAACAGGAGCAAGAAGCTGCAAACAGAACCCTTTGCCAGCACACTCAGGGCTGGCAGTGTTTAAAGTTAAGCACCACTTGCCTCCATCCTTCCAAGCACTGTAATATTATGCCTACAAGTACAATTTAGCCAATATATTCCTCCCCCACGAGTTTAGGAAAGCGGAGCCGCGGGAGGAAGTGTGGAGCAAACAAACCCTGCACAGCGTGTCCTTCCAACTCACAACACAGCACCAGCCACTTCTCACACCTCCCTCGCCACCACAGGCACCAGCACAAGCTCTGGGCTCTCTCCTCCGAGGAAAATGAGAACATTAGGCATTTTATTCCTTGACAGTTCAATAGCATCCGAGGAGGAAACACCTACACGGCGGAAAGTGTTAGTACAATCTCAGCTGGTAATGACTTTCTGGAGGAGATTTAAATTGGGAGGAGGAACAGGCTGCTAATGCCAGTGTTTGCCAAAGACATGAGAGGTTACCTCACTCCAAAGCGAATGTCACAGCTGCACATCCACTCTCCTGATAAAAATATGGCACCTCTTTGACTGAGTAGTCAGCCTGCACTTCCCAAGGAGAGAGTTGAACATTACACCATATGTTCCCCACCAAATGTAATTTCCCCAGATTTGCAGAAAAGCTTCCTAACGACACATAATGAGCCATTACTGCCGAGTCTGGGAGCAGACGCTGAGCTGACCAAATTCCATCAGCTTTCTAGCATTTGTTAAAAAGCTGCGTGATCAACATGCTTGTTATGCTAAAATATCTTCTGTTTCCTCCACAAATCTGGTGTCTATTAAATTGTCTGATGACCCGGTGGATTAAAATGAGGATGTTCCTCCTCGTTGGTGCTTTAGCCCACACTCCTCGAGGAAGGAGAGCTGGGTTCTCTCTCAGCTCCTGCATCAGCATCAATTTTGTTTAAGTAAGCTCCAAATGAGGAATCTTTATTATTAGTGACAGAGCCAGGGAAGACACAGCTTGAATTTCAGATCCCAGATGGAGGCAGCGAAGCTGGCAGCCAGAAAAGCCATCTTTTTCCTTGGAATCTGGATGCAAAGCCATTGAGTGGCAATAATGACATAGCCCCACGATGCCATTTGACACTTTGTCCTTTTTAGCTGACAAAACCCCCACATTTAGTGCCACCAACTGCTAAATAAAGCCTATTTATACCATCCAGACCTGTTCAGCACAGGCTGCACCTGCATGGCACTAGAAATCCTCTCAGCCAAAGGGAGAATATTACCAGCTTTCCCTATTTCCTGTTTCAGGACATAATTTCTTCCCCCTTACAGCACAAAAGTAGGGAAGAGTTGGTTAGTTTTTTGAGAGGAAGGCAGAAAAAAAAACCCCACATAGGAGTTTAATTTCAGTCCCATTGTCTTCCAGCTGCTGTTGGCTGCCTGTAATACATCCATGAACGCTGTTAAATTTTTAATTGTGAGGCCTTTCATCTCAGAGCTCACGCAGGGCTTGCACAAAGCAGCTTCTTCCAGCCTTACTGATGTCACTGGATTCTACTACAGCAAAAAAAAAAAAAATAAAAACCATCAACACAGCCCTTGGCTACACTCAAGCAAACACACAGCACGTCCTTCCACGAAGGTTTAATCCACAATCCCTCCCTCCCCCTGCAGTGTCTCCACCATTCAGCAGATATGAATCACTTGCAATGTCAAAGAAGGAAATTTTCAGCCACAAAGCTGCCCAGAAGCCTGGATCCCTTCTCGAAGAGCAGAGCTGGCAGTGTTCATTCATGTGAGAGTTTTACATTCACAAGGAGCACAAACACCTCGGGAGGAGGCACCTGCCTGTGCCCAAAGTGTCCAGCACAGGGAAGCTGGTCTGAGCCACAGCACCCTGCAGACACCATCCCCTCCCTGCCAGGGTCAGGTGCTGCCTGGTGAGCAGGATTTCATTCTCTCAGCAGGGCAGAACCACCACCAGAAAGCCTGTTTTAAGAGAAGGTGGTATAAACAACACCCTGGCTGCTGTACATCCCTCAGCGATAACCCCATAAACAGATACATAACAAAATCGTGGAAAATCCTGAATTTCAGCAAAGGAAGCAGATTTCCTGTGGCCTTCCCACTGCTCTCCCCCTGCTGATCAGCAGGGACTGTCCATCACTGGTGGAGACAGAGCTTCCCTCTCCCAGCACTGTGTGACTGCAGCAGCTGCTGCCACTGCTGAGTTACTTCTGGCCTCCAAAGAGCCAGTCTGGGAGCAGTTCAGTATCAGAGAAACCCTCCAGCAATCCAGCCAGGCTGCTTTCACCACGGGAGGGGGTGAGAGGCTCTGCACTCAGGCTCCTGCTGCCCCTGTGGCCTTCTCAGAATGCCTGAAGCAAACTTTGTTAGGAGGAGGTTGAAGAAATTCCTCCCTGTGAGGGTGGGGAGGCCCTGGCACAGGTTGCCCAGAGAAGCTGTGGCTGCCCCATCCCTGGAAGTGTCCAAGGCCAGGTTGGAGCAGCCTGGGAGAGTGGAAGGTGCCCCTGCCCATGGCAGGGGTGGAGGGAGAGGAGCCTTAAGGTTCCTTCCAACCCAAACTGTTCTGGAATTCTGTGACCTGGGCAGCAGGTGAAACTGCCCTCAGGACCACATGTAAATTATTCCTTTTTCAGAACACCTAATATGTGGGATTCACTGGTTTAGGGGACAACAACCACCGTGTGCTAATAACCCCCACACTTCCCAATCAGTGCTGCCAAGGGATTTCCCCTTCTCCTCCCATGAAAGGCTCTCTGAGGACAAAATTTACAGAGGTAAAAGTCAACCAAGAGGCTCTGGGGGCATCAATAATGTGATATTTGCTGGAGAATTCTTGACACAAAGCCCTAACACTGGCCATGCACCACCCCCAGCTGTACAACCCACCCCCAAACGTGCTGTCCATGGATTCCTCCCTCACTGGAGGCTGTGTTATCTGGGAGTCAGTGCAGTCAGGCAGTGCCAGGCTCTGCTCCAAGCTTCCCTGCTTATCCTTGGCACAAATTACTTCCATTCTCTGTGTCTCAGTCACTGCACATCTGGGACAGTGAGAAAAACTTCCCCTGCTTTTCAAAGCCACTTCCTCCTGTCCTGCTCCAGAAGGGCAAAAGAACAAAATATATGAACCACGACCCTAAAAACATCAGTTTCAATTTTATCTCTTTAAGATCATATTAACCAAAAGCATCTCCAAACCAAATCAAATTACTGTGATGAAAATATAATACGATTTCCTCCATGAATAAACCTAATTTGCTCTCCAAATTCCCCCCACAAACACCTAAAGGGGTCATAAGGTCCTGCTGACAACCCTGGGAAGAGCATTTTGAAGATCATCCTCTCCAACTGCAAAGAATTTGGAGGTTTTATGCTCTGTTAGAGAAGGAGATGGAGGCAGCACAGAGATCAGGAGCTGCTGTTGGATTGTGGCACACAAATGAACACAAGGTCACTCTCATCTGGGCAGCCCAGGAAGGCAAGTGCAAGTGAAAGAAGGGCCTCAGTAACACAGGAAAAAAAGAAAATTACATTTAACAGGTACAAAATATTTATAAACTCGAGTGCAAATCTCGTAAAATACTTTTACAAGAGAAATCACAAATGAAACAGGTAAAAGCAATCAAAAAAAGGCAAACTTTCCAGGGACAAAAGCAACAAGAGAACAAGACAAGCCAGCAGTGAAATCAGCAGCTCCTCCTGAGCTCACAGTAACACACACAACTTAGTCACACGGAGGAGAACAGCAGCCACAGCTGTTTCTCACAGTTTTAAACCCTCATGTTATCCAAAGGGATCCCAACCACTGCAGGAGATTCAATGCCAAGCTTGAAATCGAGTTTTTTTCCCCTTCAAAGCCCGTTTTCCAGCTTCCATCAGTGAAATGATCCGACATCCCATCCTGCCTCTTGAACACCAACTGCACCTGTGACCTGTGAGGAGGTTGTTTGCAGTTCAAAGGGTGCAAAGCATAAAAGCTGCCCCCCACAAAGCAGATAACTCTTAAATTGCATTTCCAAACCTGCCCCAAATGTTTCAAAACCAGAGAAACTCCCAGTGGCCTTTTTAAAAGACAACTTCTCCAAATACAAACCACTTAAAAACCAGACCAGTTATCAACTCCAAATGCAGAACACAGCAAAATCAAACGGGGTTACACTGGAAGTGGTCGGGAATGCTCTGGAAATCGTGGAGTTTGGCCAAGTTCTTGCTCACCCAGTGGGTATGGCTGTACCTCTGGGTAGGTTTCTTGTTGGACCTTGGGTAATTTCTGCAAAAGGAAGTCAAATAGTTAAAACAAACACAAGAGAAGCGTTGCTATGAGAGGCTGGAACAGCATCTTCTCTGAAAAAAACCTTCTCCATTTCCTTGGGGTTTGCAGCTGGTACCTAATTTTCCTCTGAGGAGGTTTTGAAAGGAAAAACCACATTCTAAGAAGGCACCTTGGAAAGCAAGAAGTTGATATTTTAGAAGTTTAAAGCCAGTCCTTTCAGGGACTCTGCTTTGTGCTCTATCACCTCCTTGGCAAAGCTCTTTCTCCCTGGCCCACCACAAAGGCTGGAGGCTCAACTAACAGGCACTTCAAACAAGCAGCAAATTTTCCTCCCAAAGTGCTGCACTCACGTTAAATCCTCTCATTTGCACATTCTGAAATAGCAAGGCAAACCCCCACAAAACTCCAAGCAGCCTCAGAAAAGCAAGATTAAAAAAACAAATTACCTCAACGAGCTTGGTTATCTCCAGGCCTCAGAGTGCTACAAAGCTTTGTCACATCATTAGAGGCTGCTTTGCCCCTTCTGCACTTTGCAAAAGATAATTTTGAAAGCCAACTCTGTCACCTCTTTTTTTTTTTCCTTCTTCTTCTTCTTCTCCGTGCACAGGGATGAGCATAACTCAGGAAACACAATTTATAAACCTCAAACCCACCTGGTTTGCAAAGCACAGTAAAATCTTAAGGAGTATGGACAACCATGGGAGGGGGTAACTCCTGAAAAAACAGTGGTTTGGAGAAGGAACATCTGCCTGGTACAGGGTTGGCACATCCACAACACAGAGTTTTATTTCTGCAGCAAAAACAGGCAGTGAGCAGAAGGTCTCAAGCCAAAGCAACCTGGTCACACCAAGAGCTGGGGAGAGATTTCTTTCAGCCTGTATTCAATCAGAACAGCTCCTTCCCTGGAATGCTGCCCTTGCTGGAGTCCATCTCTCCCAGGTCTCTCTGGAAAGAACAGGGGAGTGTGTCCTTGGCCAGTGAAAACCCCCAGGATTTTCCATCCTGCCACTGCAGTCACGTGAGGGATGTGAATCACGGGGCGTCTCTTGAGCCATTCCAGGTCTCCTTCAAAAACTGCAGCATCAGCTTTTATTTACCAAAAAGAAAATTGACATTTTGTGTCCAAAAAAACAATACTTCCAGAGGGGATTTTTTAAAAAAGTGTTCTTGAAAAATCCATGGGTTTGGGATGGGTTGTTTAAGGAGGTTCTCCGGGACAGCTCACAAAAGGCAAACTCTCACTGCACACAGCAGTTCGTGTTGTCTGCAATAAGTGTGCAAGAAATCACAGCTTTTCACAAATTTTTAAGCCTTTCCACAGGTCAGTTCCCTCCCTTGGCATTGTGAGTCCCAGGTCTTAAAGCAGAGGGAATATTTCCTTTCACCCCTGAGCCTGAGGGCAGACAAGCTGTGCAAACTACCACTGTGACTCACTCCAGGAAGAGGTTTGAGCTCCTCTCCAGAGGAAAAAGGAAAGTCTCAGGGGCAGCCTAACCCCACAAATACTTGGAAAAAGCTATTACCTCAGTGCCTCACATAACCATCTACCCCAGGGCTCAGAGGAAGAGTCCTTCTGGCCATTACACCCGAGGAAAGGGGACAGTGACACCCTAAATAAGTTCTGTTCCGTGGCAGTTCAGATTAAAACATCCCTCATCCTTTCACAGCAGTTGAGACCAAACTACAGATTTAGGATGAGACTTTCGGGCAAGTTCCACTCATTTAGAAACTGATTATCTCTGCAAACCCCCTGCAAACAGAAGCCATGTGAGAGAAGCCCCTGGACCAGGACTATCACCCCCTAAGAACTGGTAACTTCTTCCCACTCCCCTCACCATAAACCTCCTAGAAATCTGCTTTATCAATTCCTACTCCATCCCCTACTCTAAACCCCAACCCACACCTCTTGAAATTTAGGGTTTGGAGGTGGATTTCATTTCCTCTGAAGTGATATCTCCCTCCCAGGCTCAGCCACTAAAGGTAATTCCTCCTTTATGGCAGCACAGCCCCAGTCCTGCACCTTCCCTGCCTGTTCTCCATTCAAGCCAAATGAATTTGGGCAGGAAAAAACTCTTTCAAGATTAAGTTTATTTTTCCCCCTCAGCCAGCTCAGCATCAATCAACAGACCAGATCCTTTCAAGGCACAGTCTGCAAGCACAGAGTTCATTTGTATTTCACAGATTTGTTTCTCCATATGCTCCCTTACACTGTTCTCCCTTTCCATCACCTTAAACACACTGTCTGTTTTTTTAAAGATATTGATCTTTGTTATTACAGTAAGAACCAGATGGTTTGTGACTCTTTACAAGGTATTTCCTCCTCCTCTCCCTTTGATTCAAGAGTGATCCAAGGAAATAATTTATCAGGTTTCTGCCAGGTTGTAAGAAGTCTGACAGAATTGCTAAAAACATCATAAACCTCTAGCAAACACATCAGGCCTCAAGGAGAAGTCCTGCTAGAATCCTGCTAGGGAAAGGTCAGCTTCCCAGGGACCTGAGGGCCAGGGATGGGACTTGGAGCAACCTGGTCTAGTGGAAGGTGTCCCTGCCCATGGCAGGGGGGTAAAACTGGATGATCTTTAAGGTCCCTTCCAACCAGTCTATGATTTTGCTCCAAACAACACAGTTTTAGGAGCCTCATTACTTGAGTGGCTGATATAGACCCAGAATCGCTGAGGGAGATCTCCTCAAGAGGGAAATAATTCTATTTACTGCTGGATAAAGGGCAATAACGAGGTGCAAACGCTGACAAATGGTCAACTGGCAAAAATGTTGTGTGGTCAATGATCAGCCACCCATCGCTGAGCAGATGTTCAAGTCACATCTCATTTTTACAGCTGCCACAACGCAGCCTCAGCAGCATTTAAACCCCTCTAGGAAGCTGCAAATAAATTTATCTATTCAGATTGAGTATCATCCAGAAACCAGAATGAGAGGAGGCACAGGCAGAGCCACGGGTTGTCTCCCAACTCACTCGAGATGGCTCGGTGTGAAAAGTTTATTCTGAATATAAAAGGATTTCTTTCAACCAGTCAGCGTGACTTTCAGCACTCAATCACCCAATATAAGAATATATAATATATATATAACATATCTAAGATATAGATAGCTAAGATATATAGGTGAAAGTTGTATTTATAGACAACCTGCAAGTGCAAGATAATGTGCAGATGAGGGAGAAGACAAAAATCTCTGCTGTAGACAGGCCAGAATTCCCTCAGACAACCCAGCAGCAGGAGCCAGGATACAAGGAAGAACAGACAGATTACATAAAAGATGGGATAGCAAAGGCAAACATCACACTGAGACAAATGCCAGGAGATTTGCAACTCAAAACAGAGCTAAAGATTTGTAGCAGCAATATATTAGTTACTGCTTCCCAGAGGGAATTCCCTTGCTGGCTCAGAAACCTGCTAATTTTCCTTCATGAATTTCTTGGGATCACTCTGCATTTCCCATGCAAAGGATCCAAAAGGCATCTGCTGCAGATCCAGGTGCCTGGGAACAGCACACAGGGCACAGCCAGCCCACTGAGAGGGTTTCTCTGGGACAACTGGGAAAGCCCACGCTGTCTGTCGGGCTGAATTCCAAGCCCGCAGCTATTTGGAAATAAAGAGAGGTTTGCACTAATAAGAAAATCAAATTGTGTGCATCCCAGACAATGTTCTTCCCCGGCAAAATAGAGCTGTATTTCACTCGTCAGCCCCGCTCACTTAGAGCTCCTGCCTGATTTTCTGTGACTCACAACATACGTCTTGCATTTTTAATTTGAAAGGAAGAGAAAACAGGCCATTTCAGCTTTGCCTGCCTTGTCCCCTCTGCATTACTTATGCTGCATTCATGCACTGGAAGCAGCCCTGTGGCTATGCAGCTGCTCCTGTGCCCGGGTAAGTGCAGGCTCCACACAACTGTCACTTCCTTACAACTCGCCAGAAATGACAATTATTGCACCCGTGAACACTCAAAATAACCACAGTGGGAGGCCATGGCTGGAAGATACCAGAACATTTTGCCCTTCAGAACATCCCAGGCCTCCCCATCAGATGTCACCCTTCAGCTGAAACCCACACCCTGCTCTTTACAACCCCTTCCCTGGCACCTCTGCTCTGGGATGACACGGCTGGGGCAACACACGGGAGGTGTCAGCACTGAATCCAAACCTCAGCACTGGAGTAAAGATCTCCCCAGGCTGAGTTCACAGGTTCCAGGGAGGTTTGGAGTCCCCAGCCCTGGAGGTGTCCCAGGAAGGACTGGACGTGGCACTCAGTGCTCTGGGCTGGGGGACAAGGTGGGGATGGGGCACAGGGGGGATCCATGGGCTGGGAGGGCTTTTCCAAGCTTAATGTTTCTGGGATAGTTGTGAACTGACAAGACCGACTTACCTTCCAGTGCTAAGCCAGAGCTCAGCTCTGCTTTTCCCAGCTGACACAGGCCTGTTTTGGGAACATCCCTGACACACAAATTCCCTTTACAACGTTTTTCCCAGGTATCCCCAACCCTGAAACTCATCTGAACCAGCCCTGGAGCAAGACTGAGTCCTGTACAGGAATTGTGTGCCTGGTGGTGCTGCAGCAAGTGTAACAGGCACTTTTTATTCCCCTCTGAAAACAAATACATTAAAAACATCAAAGAACACGAGTCCAGCCAGCCAGGCCTCCTGCCAGGACATCAATTTTTCCCTCCCCACCAGCCTCACCCCATCTCACCTGAGGGCTTACCTGCTATAGGGGGTACCCTTTTCATCATGTGGGGGTGCACACTCTGGATAGAAACGTTTCTTTTGCTCAACTTTCACTTCTGAAATGCAGGGCCGTTGTTTCAGTCTTTAAAATAATAAATAAATAGTGTTAGGGTGTTTTTTAGATTACTTGTCAAATTAGGTTGCAGAAGACAGAGAGGGCACAGTGCCCTTCAGAACTATTACAGACATGACCTCCTTGCAGCCCTGTTCCGTGATTGAAAAAAATATAAGTGTTTGTTTTACTGAAACTGCAAAGATAAAACACTCAAAAGCAAAGCAGGAGGGTCAGCTGAGTGACCTGGCAGGTCACTGCCCTGGTTACCTCGCCAGGAACCCGCAGAGAGCCCTCAAAAGCAGATCTTTCTCATCACCCAGGGCCGTGCCGGGAACAGCAACGCACGGAACACCCGAGAGCAGCAGGTCTGCAGGGAAAAACCACCGAAGTGGCACCTCCAGGAGCAGGGGAGAGCAGCAGGAACCATCCCGACCCGCTCCGCTGCTGCCATCTGCAGGAAAAGCGCTCGGGGAGGAGCCCAACAGCACAAACATCCCCGGTTCTGCCTTCAAACCACTGCCCCAAACTGGCTTAACCACCTCCTTTCCCTTTCGGACTATCCCAGTATTCTTCCCCTTCTTCCAGAGTAAATTATTAAGTGCTTTTCCCCCTAATTCAGTGCACGGTAATTAAATGACAAGGATAAAACCCAGCAGCACCCAACCAACAAATTGGTTGAGGAAATAATTGGGATGTTTCTCAAAGTGCAGACTTGCTAAGAAATTACCTTTTCTCCTTCTCCTGTGGGACAGTAATAACTTTGCCAGGTTTCTTCCCACTGGATGTCTCTTCCTGCACAGTCTGGACTATAGTTGTGTCACTTAACTGGAAAGGTAAGGAAAAAGGGGATTAATGTGCCAAATAAAATCATTCCATGTAAGTTTTGCTTGTATAGTTATATAAAAATCCCACTTTGCTCCACTTGAAAAATCCTCCCCTGTACAAACACGGCACTTGTGTGACTATGGACATCACCACAAGTACAAACCCAAAGGAATGGAATTAAAAACATTTTAGCTACAAGAATTAAGATGTGAGTTTACTTTAATGTCGCCTGATGGCTGCTCAGCTCCTGGAGATTCCCCTTCACCATCCTCTGGAGAGTCTGATTTCCTTGAAAACAAGTTCACTGTTGCTTTGGGAAGTTCTCTGTTTCCAGACCCAGGAGCTGGGCTCTCATCACCAAGGTGAAACAAGGGCACGGCTCTTCCCAGGCAATCCGAAGCCAGGCTTTCCTGGCCTTTAGGCTCCAAGGATTCTTCCAGAATGCAGCTACCAGCAGTTGTATATCCTAAACAATCATCTATCATTGCTTCTAGAGCTTCTCTCTCCACCTCCACCAGATAATTGCCCTCCACGGGCTCATCGGAACCGCCGACAGCAAAGGGGCTGAGACGCAGGAGATCCTGCAGGTCAAGGTCCTGCTGCAGGTGGATCCCACCCAAACCAGCACTTCCACTCAAAAAGCCAGGATAACACCCAGAACTGACTGGGGGATGCTCCTGGGGCAGAGGTGCCTCTGGTTCCTCTGCAATCTCCGAGGCATCTTCCCTGACTGAGGCCCCGCTGCAGCTGCTGCTCCCGGCCTGTCCGCTCTCCTCATTTACACTTTGGCTCAGATGGCTTTTTCTAATCAGGTGCTGCTCAGCTTCCGTGCAATCATCTGCCAAGATTTCCTGGATCTCCTCCTCGGTGTAATCGAAAGGAGAGTTCCCTTTCTCACTGCCTGACAGTTCCAGCAGGGAGTCATCCAGCTCAGTGTCATCGAAGCACCTGCTGGTGTCCAGGGAAATGGTCACGTCGTCGTACTTGGACCCACAAAAACTGGCAGCAAGGTCGCCCTGGCCACTGTCATCCAGAAAATGGGAGCAGGGAGAACCTGGGGAGAGGAGCAGCAGGTTCTCTGATGGCTTTGGAGTGCTGCAGACATGACTCAACACACGAACCCTCTTGGCTGACTGCAGGGCCTGGAGCTGCGCTGCGGAATCCAACAACCTCTTGGCCCTGGGAACTGTGTCCTGTTTGAATTCCCGACACAGACAGAGCCCAGGGGAATGAGGGGAACTGTCTCCCATGTCGCTGTCGCTGCCTGGATCTCTGCTTCCAGCTCTAGAGGCCTGTTCTGAGGTTCCTCTGCTCCTGGTGCCCTCTGAGCAGCCCCTTCAGAGGAGGAATCAGCAGGAGTCGGCTCCAACCTGCCAGCAAAACCAACACCTTCAATAAAATGAACTCAGCTGCTTTCCAAACAGGGAAGGTGAAAACACTGGCTGAGGCACCACAATTTGAACTCCTTGATCTCTATTCTTGACTCTTTTGGGTCCTAACACATAACAACAACCAATCCCTTGTTCCTGAGTGTTCCCTTACACGGGGTTTTATCAGCAGGACTAATACAAACCCCAATCACCAATATCTCTGTGCCAGCCCCTCCAAAACTGCTGCAAATCACTCACAGCAGACCCCAGGAATCACAGCTCACAAGCCCAGATCACAGAGCACGCTTCAGGTATTAAATAAAAGCTCCCAGTGTCTCAACCCCCACCCTGCAAAGACACAAATGAACACATAAAAAGTCTTTTTTTGGGTTAGGAAAAAACTGAGCAAGGGAAGAGTAACCCGGTCAGGGAGCAGAGGGGTCATTCAGGAGGGGGATTAGTCACTGAGACACTCACACAAAACACACATTACAATCCAAGATCACCAGATAAAGAACCTTCCCGTTTCCAAGTATTCACAAACAAACCCTCTTTTTCCTGGAGTGAGGACTCTCCCCAACAGGAATCTTTGGACCTGAAAGCCCTGCACTTGATTCTCAGCCAGCAGGAGAATTTGGACTAAGGAAAGGTATTTCCTGTCCTCTTTGACCAAGGATTTAAAGGAATGTCTTTTTGTCTTCCTGTTGCTTTGACTACCTACTGCTTAAAAAAGGGAGGGGGTGTGCAACTGCAGGGATAAAAACTGGGAATTTCTGCTGCTTCCTCTTGTCATTCTGCCTAAATAATAAACAGGGGCACTTTCAGAATAATGCTATAGAAAAAAAAAATACCTGTGTGTGTACAAAGCCCCCACAGGAACACATGGAGTCAGGAGCAGCCCCAGTGCTTGCCTGGAGCTCTACAATTTACCTCCCAGTGCCCCAAGAAAAACATAAATAAAACCAAATTAAACATGGATTTTGTCCTATGGGGTGTGGCAGTCCAATAATGCAGCTCCTAACCACAGAATCATGGGATGGTTTGGGTTGGAAAGGACCTTAAGGATCGTCCAGTTGCACCCCCTGCCATGGGCAGGGACACCTTCCACTAGCCCAGGTTGCTCCAACCTGGCCTGGGACACTTCCAGGGATGGGGGAGCCACAGCTTCTCTGGGCAACCTGTGCCAGGGCCTCCCCACCCTCACAGGGAGGAATTTTTTCCCCATATATCCCATCTAAACCTGCCCTCTCTCAGTTTGAATCCATCCAACCAATGGACTTGAAAGAACCGACTCTTCGAAGTCTCTTTGTTGGAAGAGTCTCCCAAGAAACCCATTTGGAGACGTTTCCACTGCTGACAAGGAAATGGATTCTTTGCTGTGGGACCTTCCCAATTTACTCCACCCCATCCTGGGCTGGGTCTGTACTTCCAGCCCTTCCAGACTCTGGAAGCAGGACTTGGGTGATTGATGATTCCCAAGCCATTCCCACAGCAGTGTGTGGAATTCAGGGGCTGTGCAAGGATTTACTCTGTGGAAATGGCCTGTAACAGCTTAAATATCCTTAAACTGATGTAAAACCAGGCTGCTTGTGATTTGTCCACCACGTGAGATTATCTTCTCTGAAAAGGCAAAATCCCAGATTGGGTTGGGAGGGAACTTAGAGACGATCCAGCCCACCCCCTGCCATGGGCAGGGACACCTCCCACTATCCCAGGCTGCTCCAACCTGGCCTTGGACACTTCCAGGGATGGGGCAGCCACAGCTTCTCTGGGCAACCTGTGCCAGGGCCTCCTCACCCTCACAGGGAAGAATGTTTTCCCCAATATCCCATCTATCCCTGCCCTCTGGCAGTGGGAAGCCATTCCCTGTGTCCTGTCACTCCATCCCTTGTCCAAAGTCCCTCTCCTGGAGTCCCTTCAGGCACTTAAAAACCTGCAGTAAGGTCGCCCTGGAGCCCCTCCTTCTCGAAGGCACTGACACCACCACCAATTCCTGCTCCTTTCCTCACGGAGCCCAGCGGCCCCTTCTCCCTCCCTAAGGAGGCACCGCCCAACCGGCGCCTCAACGGCACCGCCCCAAGGCGGGGCTTTGGGGGCGAGCCCACCCCCTTCGCTCCTCCTCGCGGCCCGCCGGGGCACCGGCCGCTCCCGGAGCGCCGGGAAAGGGGGTAAAACACCCCAAATAAACGAGATAAACGAGATAAAGGAGCCCGAGCAGCTGCCACAGCCCGGCCCTCACCCGCCGCCATCTTAAGGGCGCCGAGGCCACGCCCCTGCGCGCGCGAGGAGCCCTCTGATTGGCGAAGAGCTGCAACCCCCCCGCGCGAGGCGCGCTCTGATTGGCGCAGCGCGGCCCCGCCCCGTCGTTCACCTCCCCATCGACAGCTCGGCGATCGTGCCGCCCAGGCGCCGGTAGCCGAGCGCCGAGCGGGGCTGATGCAACCCGGGGCAGGTCGGTGGGGACGGGGAGGGGAAAAGGGGGGGACAGGAGGGGGTTTTGGGGGGTCTTGAGGAGTCCTGGGGTGGTGGGGGCTCCGGTAACGCCTTGTTCCTGCCCCCGCAGCCGCCGCCATGGAGCCCGCGCCCGGCCCGCAGGAGAAGTATCAGCTCATCACGCGGAACCTGCAGGTACCGGGGGATGGGTGGGGAACGGGGAGGGGGGATCGGGGCACGATCCGGGGGAATTAGGGCAAGATCGGGGGGAATAGGGCAGGATCGAGGCCCGGACAGGGGTATTAGGGCAGGATCGGGAGCAGGGCAAAGCGGGGCGGGGAAATCGGGGCAGGATTGGGGGGATCGGGGCAGGGTTGGGGGAAGGATCAGGGGGTGGATCGGGACAGGATTGGGGCAGGGATAGAAGTTGGAGAGGAGGCATCTGGGCAGGATCGGGTCCAGATACCGAGGGGACCGTGGCTGGAGCGGGGACAGAATCGGTTCCGGAGTGGGGGATCAGAGCTGGATCGGGGCCCTGGCAAAGGGGTGTGGGGGGATCAGAGCCGGGTGTAGCCCCGGGGATGAGCCCCTGGCACCAGCAGCACCCCCGGGACACGCGGTGTGCCCAGCCCACCCACCCGCAGGACTGTCCTGCCCTCCCCAGCTGTGCCAGATGTGCATGTTTTGTGCCCCCCTCTAGGAGGTGCTGGGCGAGGACAAGCTCATGGCCATCCTGAAGGAGCGGGAGCTGAGGATCTACTGGGGCACGGCCACCACGGGCAAGCCCCACGTGGCCTATTTCGTGCCCATGTCCAAGATTGCAGATTTCCTGAAGGCTGGGTGTGAGGTAATGGGGTCACACCGGGACCCCACACCCTGGGGGGGGTGGTTCCCTGGACTCCTGGCAGTGACTTGTGCCCTCTGTGCCAGGTGACAATCCTCTTTGCTGACCTCCACGCTTACCTGGACAACATGAAGGCCCCCTGGGAGCTGCTGGAGCTGCGCACCCGCTACTACGAGCACGTGATCAAGGCCATGCTGGAGAGCATCGGGGTGCCCTTGGACAGGCTCAAGTTCGTCCGAGGCACCGACTACCAGCTCAGCAAGTGAGTCCTGGGGCACTTGGACTGGCAGAGCACGGCCTTCTCCTGACCCTGCCCTGCTCCTGACCCCGCTCCTGGGACACCAGGTGCCTCCAGGGTTTGTCTCCCCTCAGTGAGGCCAGAACCAGCCACTCTGGGGTGTCACCATGTGAGTCCTGGGGCACCTGAGCCAGCAGAGCCCAACCTGAGGCTCTGCTGCTCCTGAGCCTGCCCTTCTCCTGACCCTGCTCCTGGGGCAAAGTGAAGGTGCCTCCAGGCTTTGTCTGCTCTCAGTGAGGCCAGGGCCAGCCGCTGTGGGATGCTCCCCATGCCAGGTGGGCTCAGTGGTGCCCTTCCCACAGGGAATACACGCTGGACGTGTACCGCCTGTCCTCGGTGGTGACGCAGCACGACGCCAAGAAGGCAGGGGCGGAGGTGGTGAAGCAGGTGGAGCACCCCTTGCTGAGTGGTTTGCTCTACCCAGGCCTGCAGGTGAGGCAGGGGCTGCCCAGGGAGGTGCTGGCAAAGCCAGGACCACAGGGGTGTGAGGGGCTGGGCGTCCAGGTCGTTGTTCTCCACTCCAACATCCCACCCGGCAGCGGCACAAAGTTGCTGGTGCAGCAGACAGTCCAGAATATTCCCGTCCTTTCCCAGGGTAGGAGTGCCCTGGGAGAGGCTGAGGGACAGGCAGGATGTCTGAAGGCTGAGCAGAGCTGGAGTGGGGTGTTTTGGACCCAGCCTCAGGGCTCTGTGTGTCCCCACAGGCGCTGGACGAGGAATATCTCAAGGTGGACGCGCAGTTTGGAGGGGTTGACCAGAGGAAGATCTTCACCTTCGCAGAGAAGGTCAGGAATGGGGGGGTTTCTGCCGTCCTGGGGCCTGAGGGAGGACTTGGACACTTGCTGATCCATTGGGAGAAGGGTGTATGGGGTTTTGGTTGGCACCACAGTGCTCTGTGCTGCAGGGCTCTGGTGCCCTGGGAGCTCACAATGGCTCTCTGGGTCCTGTTATTTTGGATTCCAAAGTCATCTGGAGCCAGGAGCAAGCAGGGATTGTGACTGAAAGGTGGTCTTTGGATGAGCATTGTCTCTGACTTGCCTCTTTCTTGCATTTTCCCAGTACCTCCCTTCCCTGGGCTACGCCAAGCGTGTCCATCTGATGAACCCGATGGTTCCTGGGCTGACAGGCAGCAAAATGAGCTCGTCAGAGGAGGTTGGTGCCTGATCTGGCTGTGCCAGGGGGGTGTAGAGGGGCAGGTTGAGGGCTGGGGGTGGAGAGGGTACAGCCCTGCAGGCAAGGTGACCTCTCTCTGCTCACATGGGGTTCTAGGGAGTTGTAGCGACTCTCTCGTGAGTTTTCTCTTTTGGACAAAACGTTGGGTGAAGGGGCTGAGGAAATCTCTTGCTGCAGGACTCAAAGATTGATCTTCTGGACCGCAAGGAGGATGTGAAGAAGAAGCTGAAGAAGGCCTTCTGTGAGCCAGGGAACGTGGAGAACAACGGTGTCCTCTCCTTCATCAAGCACGTCCTCTTCCCCCTCAAGTCAGGTGAGGGCTCGCCACGCTTGGGGGTGTTTTCCCCGTGGATAAAAAGAGGGAACAGGAGCATGTCCCCTGAGTGCCACCTCCCCAGCCTGTGGTCCCCACCCTGGGCAGGGTGGGGCAGGTGGTTTTATCTGAGCCTTGAGTTAATCTGAGCCTTAAAATCTGTGTGTCGCAGAGTTTGTGGTGCTGCGAGAAGAAAAATGGGGAGGAAACAAAACCTACACGGACTATGAGGCCCTGGAGAAGGACTTTGCTGAGCAGGTGAGTGCTGGGAGGGGCTGAACCTTCTCCCTGTGCCTGAGGCTCCTGTGAGCAATCTGGGAGCAGCACTGGGAAATGAAGATCCACACTGGGAAGAGGTGTGGAGTGTGGCCCAGTGACGGGGTGCTCCCAGCCAGGAGAGGATGGGTGAAGGATGTGGGGTCACCTGCTGTCCTGGTGCAGGACAGGGCCACATCAGCCTCATCCTGGAACAGAGCAGCAGTTAAACCCTTCTCAGCTGTTCCCAGATGGAAGCAGAAGTGTCCAAAAGAAGGGCTCTGATGTCTGAGGGGAACCAGGCCAAGGGTTGGGGTTCATCTCCAGTTCCTCCAGTTTCCACCCTGGGCCTCAGACAGGAACCTGTTTGTCACGTACAGGTCGTGCACCCCGGAGACCTGAAGAACTCGGTGGAAGTGGCCCTGAACAAACTGCTTGACCCCATCAGAGAGAAGTTCAACAGCCCAGAGCTGAAGAAGCTGAGCAGTGCTGCATATCCCAACCCGTCCAAAGCCAGTAAGGAGGTGCTGGGAGCTGAGGGAAGTGGAACCCTGAGACCTCAGGGAAGCAGAGCCCTGACACGTGGGGCTGGGTGGGAGTCTCTCCAGGGGCTGTGGTTAGAAGTTCTGAAACTTCGGTCTCAGAAACAGCCCTGGAGAACACTGGGAGAGGTGAGGAAGGCCAATGCCAGGGCTGTTTGCCTGCTCTGGAGATGCTGCTCTGGTGCTTGAGAGGGCAACACCGCAGAGGAGGGGCTGTGCTCCCTGGTGTAGAGACAGGCAGGGAATTCCCTGCAGGGTATTCCCCCCAGGGCCTGCATTTGGGAGTGACTGTGCTCCCCAGGGCTTGGCCAGCTCCCTGAGTTTATGCTGAATGATGTGACCATTCCCTTTGCCCTGCAGAGCCTGGAGAGAAGGGCACCAAGAACTCGGAGCCAGAGGAAGTGATCCCGTCCCGGCTGGACATCCGCGTGGGCAAAGTGATCAGCGTGGAAAAGGTACAACGGGGTGGTGGGGGAGAGTAACCACCCCACGTGGACACCTGGGGGGCTTGGGGGGGTCTGCCCCCTCCCCTGCCACCCCATTCCCATCCCTGCCCCTCCCCTGGCAGCACCCAGACGCAGACAGCCTGTACGTGGAGAAGATCGACGTGGGTGAGGCCGAGCCCCGCACCGTGGTCAGTGGCCTGGTGCAGTTCGTCCCCAAGGAGCAGCTGCAGGACAGGCTCGTGGTGCTGCTCTGCAACCTCAAGCCCCAGAAGATGAGGGGAGTGGAGTCTCAGGGCATGGTGCTGTGTGCCTCCAGGTGAGGGAGGGAGGGAGGGGGGCACTGGGGTGGGAGCGCTCCAGGGGGGACATTCTGGACTGCCCTGTGCTGCCCCAAGGCACTGAGGGGCAGGTGGGGACCACCTTGGGGTGACTCTGCTTTGTCTTCCAGCGTGGGGGAGCCCCGGCAGGTGGAGCCCCTGGACCCACCGGCCGGGTGCTGCGCCGGGGAGCGCGTCTACGTGGAGGGGTACGAGGGTGGGGAGCCTGACGAGGAGCTCAAACCCAAGAAGAAGGTCTTTGAGAAGCTGCAGGTGAGGGGCTGGGAACAGCTCAGCGTGGCTGGGGCTGCAGGCATTGACTGGGGCAGTGCTTAGGGTGTCCCTGCCCCTGGGTGACCCCAGATTGGCTGTTTGCCCCTCGGTGCCCACGGTTGTTACTGTCAGCAAAGCTGGGCACTGCTGCCCCACTGCTGATCCTGCC